CAGCCACTCATTCCTCACAATCACTCAGCACTTAGCACTCGGCACTCGCACTCAGTAGGCACCTATGCTCACTGGGGGTTTGTACAAACTCCGGAAGGGCTCCTTCAGTCCAAGCGCTATATCGAGCCAAATCATAGCATAAATCAATGAAAACATGTTGCGGTGTGCAACCTGATCCCATAAATATCCTCACAATCAGGCCCTCGGCTTCACTTAGTCAGCAATCTCTCCAGTCTCTCGGGCTCTCAAAAATAAGGAAAATCAGTCCAAACAGCAATAATATGATGTATCAACAAGAATAATAGAGACTGAGATATGATATGCGAATAAAACTGAGACTAGGTACAAATAGCATTTAGCAGGTAATTCAACATGTAATACGGCCTCTTTGGGTTCCAACAGTACCAACACATAGCCTAATTATGGTCTCTAACATGATTCACAGTTAAATTTATATAACACATGAAGAGCATATAGCTAACAAAAAGTTTATTCAACTTCTCAGTTTCACAGAATGGACCAAGTCACAATTCCCACGGTGCACGCCCACACGCCCATCACCTAGCATATGCGTGACCTACAAAACAATCATATAACACCAAAATTCGTGGTTTCATACCCTCAGGACCATATTTAAAACTGTTACTTACCTCAATCCGAGCAAAACTCTTCTCCAATATGCCTTTGTCTTGCAAATCGGCCTCTAAACGTCTCGAATCTAGTCACAAGCAGTACAACACAATCAATACGGACTAAAGGAATCAACTCCATAAGAAAAATACGAAATTATAAGCCAAAATCTGAAATTGGTCAAAAGCTGGCCCCGGGCCCATGTCTCAAAATCCAACAAAAGTCACAAAACCCGAAAGCCCATTCACTCACGAGTAAAACCATGCCAAATTAATCAAAATCCGACATCAAAATGACCATTCAATTCCCCAAAATTAACTCTCAAAATCACTAACCTCAAACCCCCAAATATCACCTCAAAAACACACCAATTAGGTGGAAAATCGGCGGGGAAACATCATTATTGATGAAAAAATGAATGCAAGGAGCTTACCTCATTAATCTCTTCAAAAACCCTCTCAAAAACCTCCAAAGTCCGAGCTCAAAATGATGAAAATGGTAAAAAATCTCGAAGTCTCGCATTTATAGGTTCTTCCCAGAGCCAGCTTCTGCGTCTAATTCCGCACATGCGTCCCTTTTTCTGCTCCAGCGGACTCGCTTATGCGAGACAAATCTCCGCTTCTGCGGAGTCAAGCTTCAAGGCCAAATCAGTTTATGCAGCCCTTCTACCGCATCTGCGGTCACGCAGATGCACGAAAACCCTCCCACCTGCGACCTTCTGCTGCATCACTCCTTGGCCGTTTCTGCGGGCACGCACCTGCGGTTCCCACTTCGCAGATGCGATTACAACAGCAGTGGAAAACCTTTAGCAAGCTTACAACTTCAAAACTTCATCAGTTAATCACCCGAAATCAACCCGAGGCCCCCGGGACCTCAACCAAATATTCCAACACGTCTTAAAACATCGTGCGAACTTAGTTGAATAAAAAATTTCACCTCAAAAAACGTCAAAAACATGAATTCCACACGGATTCAAGCCTAATGAACTTTGCAATTTCCAAATTCTACAAACGACATCGAAACCTATCAAACCATGTCCGATTGAACTCAAATTTTGTACACAAGTCACAAATGACATTATGAACCCACTACAACTTCCGGAATTCCAATCCGACCTCGATATCAAAAAGTCCACTCCGGGTCAAACTTCCCAAAAACTCAACTTTCGCCATTTCAAGCCTAATTCCACTACGGACCTCCAAATCATAATCCGGACATGCTCCTAAGTCAAAAATCACCTAACGGAGCTAACAAAACCATCAAAATTCAAATCCGAGGTCGTTTACACATAAGTCAACATCTGATCGACTTTTCCAACTTAAGCTTTCAATTATGAGACTAAGTGTCTCAATTCACTCTGAAATATCTCCGGGCCCGAACTAACCAACCCGATAAGTCATAAAATAACAGTGTAACACAAAAATGAGCAGAAAAGGGGAACGGGGCTACAACTCTCGAAACGACCGATTGGGTCGTTACAAAAAGGATCATAGCGATCATACTCTCTTTTTATTAACCTCAGTTATGTTGTACTGCGAGTGTGAATTTGTACCTCTTCTAGGTGTTGGGTAAAACCACTTGCATCGGAAAAGTATGATCTTCTTAGTTGGCTAACCTGAATATGTCAATTCTAGAATCTCTTTGATCACACCATAATAATCATTTTTCCCATCCTGGTTGCCTTCACCACCTTTAACACACACCCCACTGTTATTATTTTTTTATACTTGGAGCATTTCTCGATGTGAAATTTATAACCATTCATAAAATACTTAGATATAATTATAACCGTAGGTGTAGGTCCCCAAGATATACCTTTCAAAAATTGATTAACGACGTTGTTTGTATTATTGACCTACATGTAGTGTTAAAAAAATCACAAGTGATAAAGTATATTCACAAGTGACTAAGTATGTATATTCACATATGAGCAAGTATGTAAGCTGCACTTACACACTCTTTAAACAACACCTCAAATGTTGAATATACAGCATCATGGACAAATTGACTCACGAAGTCACTGAGCGACACATTGATAATTTTTTTAGTTGTATCAACCTAATTAAATAATAGTCCATGTAAATTAATCTTATGTCAACACTTACTTAAGAAAGAGTTAAACTTCCGGACAATTTGCAATACATGATTTGAAGCTAATTTGTACTCCACACTACTTAGGCCCCTTTTTGATCTATCTTTAGAACCTCGGCCTGGTTGATTGAATATGGACATTAGTGGATATAACAAATCATTTCCAATCACGATATTGTGCCGATTGGGCCTATTTCTAGCACATAGCACATGATTGTCGATGTAGTAAGAACAAAAATGGGCAGCTTCCATTGCAAGATAGGCTTAGATCCTTCAATCGTATTCCTCTGTTTAACAAATCGTTTACACTTACCGATAGTCCTGCACATTATCATATTAGACGATAACAATAAAGAAAATTACAAGAATGAATCAAGGTTTGATCATTACCTCTCGAATGGATACATCCACCTGCATTGAAATAGCCCTTCAAGTTGCGCCTCGTGTACAAGGTTAATTGGAAGGTGTTCCATCACATCAAATAAATCACATGGAAAAATCCTTTCCAACTTATTACTGATTACAGGAATGTTCTGATTCATTTGAAATAAGTTTTCTTCCCTAGATGTGGTAGAACATAAGTCTTTGAAGAACAAACTTATCTTTGTAATGGGTTTTCAGATATTTTCAAACAAACCACAAAATGCGATAGGGATTAAAGTTTCCATGAAGATATGGCAGTCATGACTTTTCATATGAGTCAACTTTCCTTCAACCATATCGGCACGTTTTCCCAGGTTCGAAGCATAACCATCAGACATCTTTAGGTTCGTAACCCACTCACAAATCTGTCGTCTTTATTCCAAAGTGAATATGTAGCTGGCCTTGGACTTGAACACCTTACCATTATTCGCATGCTGCAAATGTAATTCAAGTTGCCTGCAATATTCTTGTAAGTCTAGTCTAGCATTCGGGTTATCTTTTGTCTTATTCTTATTATCCATCACTGTGTTGAAACAATTATCAAAATAGTTCTTCTCAATATGCATGACATAAAGATTGTGTCGGAGAAGATTATCCTTCCAATATGGCAACTCCCAAAATATGCTATATTTTTTCCAGTTATGTGTAACACCATATCTAGGGAATCTAAAAGGTGGAGCTTCGGTAACTTTAGTGAAGTTCTGAACCCTCTTCCAAATTTCCTCATCGGACAAAATTGGAATGTCAATTAAATATTTCAACACAAGTATCTATATTTTTTGTGTAGGTGTACATCATGAAATTGACAATGCTCTACTAGCCATCCTAGAGAAGGCATATGTTAGTCGAGTTTCTATACAGTTTTTATAAAATGCTACCTTCATCCAATAATAACTTCTTGATATATATGTATATATGTAATAGTAAAAAGGTGGAGGCTACAATTTCTTATAAAAAGGCTAAAACTTTAAGACATGAAATATCTGTAGTCATAGATGACTTCTAAATTATGTGTTAACATATTAAAAAGGAATTACTGTCAAGTTGATTACTTGAAATATTATAAGAATTGCATAATTGAATACGCTCGAATATTAATTTTGAAATTCATTTGCTAGCAATTTTCAATATGATTATGCTCATTATTCATCGCTTTGAGCTTGCGATTTTCCTCTTCAATTTATGTGCAACTTAGCGGACACTTATTATAGTATTTTTGAAATATTTTATACTTAGCAGAGGATACACGTGCGTTGCACGTATCCAGAAACTAGTATTATTATACATGGTGTAAGATATATAATATCCCTTTTAGACATCGAGTTTATCTTATATCTTATTACAAAATCTTAGTATATTTTAAGAAGTCTTACATATAAATATTCTTTTGCTAACATGTACATCGTATAATAACTTAAACTCAAACCGAATAATCCTTGACAACATAGGAATTGTGATCATAAAAAACGGAATAGAAAAATCATATTTATTTTATTTTCTAAAATTATAAAAAGAGAAAAAATACTTTTGCTGAAAATTTTGTTCACTCATCTGATTTAAAAAGAGTATAATTTTTTTTCCTTTTAAAATATGTATCTATCACTTTATAGAAAATGGCTACAACTTATTTAATAAGGTATCACTTAGTAGTAAAGTAAAACTACTTTCTTGCGTTTTGGAATAAGCTATTTGTGAAATAATTCCTGGGATCGAACTCTGTTTGATTTTGAAAAATAAAAATAACACTTTTATATTTGTTTAATATATTTGTATAAATATTTGATTTTAAAATACGATATGTGTATTACCAGTTGAGTCATATAACAAGGGTTTAAAATGATTTGACGTGCCAAAATTACCATTCCAAAAATTGGAGGAGTTCGTGTGTATTTTTGTCCATAGAGAGGATGACCCTGGCTGAATCGAAGAATAGCCTTTCGATTAACTATTTTATTTTGAAGACGGGGTTTTTTAGCTGCTCACAAATGCAGGACTTTTAAGTGGCGATTAATTCGTCTAAATCTGGTCTTTAAACCATTCGGAGAATGGGAAAATGGCAGTGGGTTTGGAGGTTTCCTTGAGAAGATTGGTTTCAGCATTTGCAAATCAAGCACTGGACTTTCTGGAGAGTTACTACCTATCTAGGAGGTAAACTTTCCTGCTTTTGCTGTTTCTTCTTGGTAATGTTTTTCCTTTTTAACTTTTTATTTTTGTTTTCATTGATCACAAGTAAGGGATTTTAATTTAGCTAATAGCTTAATGTTGTTCTTTATCCCTTTAGATTGGGAGGGGGGAGGGTGTGTGATGAATATATGTTTATGACTGACTTATAATGACGAATTTTCTTGTTAAGGAGACCAAGAATTAGCTTTGATATTTGCTACAATAACAATGTACGCTCATTTTCCTTTTCCTAGTTCATAGTTTGCGTTTCTGTTAGATTAGTAGACAATTTGAGATTCTTACTAATTACTACTTGAGTTATCTTAGTTAGGATATAAAGTGTGTCCGTCCTGCTTATGAAGGCTGAAAACTGCGATACATAATCCCACTTTATGTCCTAACTTCTAGAACTTCAGTATTCGTTAAATCAGTGTTCTTAAAAGCCTTCGCTTCGTTGCTAAAAGCGATGAAGCAGTTCTAGCTAGGGAGCATCGGTTCATAGGTGAAATCATACGCGTCAAACAATGACGCACACATTGATCCAAATGAGAAAATGTCACTAATGTGCATCATCGTGTATTGAATACTGAAATTAGTATTTTTAATTGTAATTTGATTGTTAAGTACTAAATTCTTATATGTTTGGTAGTTTTCAATTATGAATAAATTATGTGCTTCTCTTCAAAGAAACTCACGTGTTACTTCTTGCTTTTCGATTCAAGCCTCGTGCACCTTGTCGCTTTTTGCTGTTAGAAACACTGCCTTAAATATACTTCTAATAACCGTCTTCTTAGACTACTACTAGAATCTTTTATATCCATTCCTTGCTGTTCAGGTTAGTCTCAGCATAATACTTAATAATGTGTCTTTTATAATAAACCAACTAAAATGACCCAAGGAAAACATCTGGAAATGTAAGTGTGCCAATAACGGCTAAAGTATTTAGTTTGGTATCACCTATGAGAACCCTCTACTTCCATTGTGTTCCATTCCTCCATGTACTTTAGGTCTACCTTGTCCCTTTAACACATTCATCAACATTGTGCATAATGCAATTCAGCTACTCAGAATTCATCTCGATTAATATCTAGCATCAGCTTGAAGATCCTAAGACTCAATATTATGTGCAATGATGGGTATTGCTCAGAGCGATTGACTGAGCTTTTAGTCTATTTCTTATCATCTAATCTCAGTCTTTACTTTCTTCTGTCCTTGCATAATGATTTGATGAAGGCTGCAGCCTGCAAATATTCATCAGATACTTGTCATTTACTTATTTTTGTTCTTCCCATAATGGCCGATAATGATTGCAAGGAGTGATCAGAATTGTGGTTACAACTATCATCTGTTATCTATAGTGCCTTCTAAAAAGTGTTTTTCTGTGCTTGGTGTGAAGTGCGATATTTGCTGAAGATTTCATTTGTTTCACCTTTTATTCTTGTGTTATCAGGATGTGACTGATAGAATTTAAATGCTTAGCCATCCTGTTAGCTCACATTTGTAGAAGTTCTTGATGAGAATTGTTTGACGGAGAAAGAAACTCCCTTTCTCCACCAATTGAACAGGATTGACAAATATTATCCTTGTCTAAGCAAGTTATTACTGATGATGACTATTTTTTGATAGAGATTCTATTCCATCAATGAAACAGGGTTGACAAACGCCATTCTTGCATTTGATTTCTTGGATATCGCTCTATTGTTCTCATTTTCCCTGAAACTTCTGCGTCATATGCTCCTGAAATGGAAGCTGCATCTCTTCGCCTGCCCTCGGTTCATGGTGGAATCCATTGAATACGTTGGTAAAGCACAAGATTACGGCCGAAAAGCAGAGGTGCACTGGCATTGTGTATGAAGACTTGCTTTTTGGAACCATGACAATTTCTAAGGCTCAAAACTACATATTGCAGAGATCATGCATCGGGAAGTGAATATACATTCTCCAAAGGATCCAATCCTAAATCAATGCAGAAGTTGATCAAGGTTTGCATCTCTTGTTATATAAATACATGTATTTGTGTATCATTTATAGTCTTGTTTGAAGGATACCTATGCCTTGTAGTGATCCTGCAGTCATTATACTCAGATTAAGATGTCTTGGGTAGGTTGAGGAAGGGCAATTGTATCTGAAGATTAGGTTTCTACCAGGACAGAGTAGTTGTTGCTGTAGGATTATCTCGGCTTGTGAATGTTCTCATTTAATGTTTGGTTAGAGGAACTCAAATCAAGTTCTCTAGCTTCCAATAAATGTGTCTCTCGTACTAAAAACATTTACAAATTATTACTCATAATTTTCATTACTCATTTCCCATCATTCTTTTTTCTGTTAACAAAAAGATAATAATGTCACTTAAAAGATGGTGCTTGAAGAAGCAAGCACTCATAGTTGGATTGGTATCACATTATTCATCTGAAAACGTTGTATGAAAAAATCACTGCAGTCTTTCTAATCTCTGAGCTATTCGCTCATCGTATCGCCGAATTTCGAATGCATTCTAATAATCTAATTCATTGGACTGCTTGTCAGATGTGAACTTTTATTCATTGGACTGTATCACATTTTAATACACTTATATTAGTTGACAGAATCAAGTGTTAATCGTCCAGTCTAGCGTGTACCTGGTTTACTATTTACTTTAATATATGCTATGGCATTCTTTTTCTGTTGTCATTTCTTGTTGTCTGAAAGGATTTCTTGTAAAACTGACATTCAAATGGTTGCATTCCCGTTTTGTAGTCTCTGCTTTTCAATTACTGCTTCTGAATGAAGTATCAAATGGAGTAAAATTTATCGCCTCTTGCTCTAAGCAGTTTTTGAGTGTCCAAAAAGGTAAGTATATTCTCTGGTTACATGATTATCAGACTTGAGATGCTAATATGGAAACTCAAGAAAAATGGGAAGACGACCAAAGTGCGTCAAACAATTGTAGAATTAGACCATCAATTTCCTGATTAAGGTCAGGTGTTCCTGTTGCTAAGAAATGCACACTGAATATGATGTAAGGTTTTTTAAATACTAGTCTCTCTGCACGTGTATACCATATTTATTTTTATACAACATACATACTAAAAATAGTATATGCATACATATTTGAAAAATATTTGATTTAGTTATAAGTTAAAATTTGAATATACTAATAGCTTGCATTCTCGCATAACCTTAAGACCTTTTATAAAGAAAGTCAATATGCACTCTCCGGCAAACTCTATCTCCATTCTTCTAGCCATCACCATCAATTAAACTTTAGTATCTTCCTTTTCAAATTTAATTGCTCCGACGATGTTGGAAAAATCATTCATTGATCAACTTTATTTTCTGTATATCCTTCAGTCATACAATATCAATAGCGCCTTGAAATAACTGTCTTCTCAAGGTTGATTGTTCTTTTTTGGAATATTCAAGTCTGGCTTTTTCTATTTTAATATACATGTTATGCACAAATTCTCCAGCTTCATCATATATAGTGTTCCAGTTAAAATCTCATAAATAAAAGGTTGAATGGGGAGTCATTTTTATGTACTTAATGAAATTAGGTAATCAAGTAAGATAAATTATGGGAAAAATATTCGATTTGTTATTTTTGAATAAAATATTAGAGATTAATTGCTTCCTCGGGTGACCATAGTCCTTTCTTTACATTAGCCTTATCACAACAAGAAGTTGTCCTTTTTCTACTCATTTAACTAAAACGGACTTAGATAAACACGTCATAAGTTCAACAAAGAACATTCATAAGTTGTGAAAGTAAACTAAAATATTATTTAGATAAATAGGAAGCGTGGAAGGAATTAATACATTTATCAAAATGATGGACTTTAGCGTTGCTTTGTCCCTCTATTTTCCTGAAATGACCGAGATAGTAAAACATATTACTCCAATCTGTAAGATGTAATTGTCTATATTAATTTAACTTCAAGAATGCAACAAACTAAATGAGTAGAATGGGGACTTACAAAACTATCGGTAAATATAGGAGTGATTTCATTTTTTTCAAATATATATAGGATCTTGTCTGCAAGAGCAAGAAGCAGATAATAGCAAAGTTATAAGGCATATGGAAATATTCATATTCTAGAGCTATTTAGGTTACGAAAGATTTTACTATAATCATTTCGATACTTCATTGAATTTGTCCTGTAATCGTGTTTTACGGGAAGAAACATGGGATACGTTTAAAAGATAGTTAAAGTAGAAAAGTCAAATATCAGTGAGATGAAGAAGAAAGGGGAAGACAATTGAAGTTCCAACCGAACTTACACGTGCAATCTATTGCTTTTATAAAGAGTTATTTCAATAAATAATAATTAAAAAATAGTCATAAATAAATAAAGTACTTGTCTCAAGGAATATACAAATATAGGATTTGAACATCTATTGGGAATTATGTATCCAATATAATCATTTAAGTCTTTGGATCACATCTATCAAACTGGACACGAAGTAAGATAAACAGAATATCTTAATCATCAGCAGAAGAATCTTCAAACTCTTAGTTGTGATTACCACTATTCAAGGTCTCAGGAACGTTAAGATATTAAAAAAAGCTTCACATACATACAAGAAAAGAAGGAAAAAGGAATAGTGAGAGTACATAGTAAAGAGTAACTACAGAATCAATGACGCAATAATTAGTATATTGGATCTGGGCAGAATAAGCTTTCGAGAATGTGATTTAATTATCAAAGTTTTACTTAAAGTATATGGATAGAATAAACAATTCAGTATATTATTGACTTTGTGGAAAATTTAATACTTAGAAGGTAATTAAACTAATAAGTATAGATGTTACGATGTTTCTCTCTATTACTGGAAGCTTGTCATGTGTGCATTTGCGTGAAAACAATTAATATAGAAGTTAAATTCACAAAGTACATCAATAACATCAGGAAACCAGTGGCAACAGAAACATAGAAAAATAAGGGTGTAAAAATTCAAACTTAATTAAACTCTAATTTCGCTGAAATAATTCAAACTCAATTAAACTCTAATAATCTCCAAATCATAACCAAATTTATACATACATGAAAAAATTTGCTAGTTAAATAGAAGTGAACTTACAATTCAATTTCGGCAGAGAAAAAATATCGCCAAGGATTTAGCCGGAATTGAAGGGATAGTAGCGTGACAAAAATCTGACTATCAAGTAAATTTGGAAAAAACTATAGGAAGAAGATGATTAAATGAAAGAGTATGACAATCTGGTGAAAAATTAAAGAAAATCGAAACTTGTTGTGTTATCAGAGAAAATCGAAGACAAGGAAAAAGTGCCATTTGGGTTCTGATTTTTGTAGATAGCCAAATAAAACGGTGCAACTCTTCGAAGATGATTGTTAGAAGGAGGCGTCTGTCCAAGAGGAAGTTTGAAGGCACGGGATCTTCAGACAGGCGTGTAGGTTTTTTTTTAAACATTTATTTACATTTTATGGGGTAGGGGTAATTTAGTAATTTAAGTTTTAAGTTTGGAGTTTCCTGTTTTTAATATAACTAGTATCTACGAACGTGCGTTGCACGTTAATAATGACACGTGATGATTTAAATATCATTTATATGAAGGAACAATAAAATTTAATTAATGAGAGAAATTTTATGTTTAATAATACAACAATCATCTAAATGTCGAAAAATATTATTACATTAGCATAATACATGAATTTAAAATAAAAGAACATCATCAAAACTTACACAAATGATCAATTTTGTCATGTTTGTTGGATAATTATGTATTATAGTTTAAAAGTATTTAATGTGATGGTATCTTAACGAACACTTCTTTATGGACAATTATTTTTTTGTGTGTAGGTTTCCTCCTAATGCTTTGGGTTCTCTGTCTTAACCAGAATTCTTGTTGTCGATCTTGATATCCCTTTTGAAGGTGCAACATACAGTTGTTCGTGCAAGAAAACATATTGCGGTAAATATAGTCCAATATTTAGGATATTTGTCCTTGTGCTTTATTTATTATATTTGCAAAACATAAACATACTAAAAATTATTTTCACACAAATTTAAAAGGATATTCCTTAGTTTCGGAAGACGAAAGTTGAATTCAGGGATAAGAATATACTTAGAAGCACATTGACCAGTATCATAATTTTTGCGCGTTATTGTTAAAACTTCTACATACCATCTATGTGCTATTACATAAGCTATTCGGCGTATCTAAGTTTTTCAGTAGCATGATGGGCATATTTTTCTTCAAAATTAACCTATATACAATGGAAGATCAATTTTAACTTAGTCTATTATATATACGGTGAAACTAACATACGTAAGAAATAATAAACTTGACAAGAAACATGTACAGTAAAAGGCCATTTGGTATTAAAGTATTTAAATATTCTTCTTGGTAGTAATTATTGGTATCATTTTCTGTTGAGTCAAAATGTCACGACTCAAAATCCCACCATAGGCGTCGTGATGACACCTAATCTCTAAGACTAAGTAAGCCGATTTATATCACATTTTGCAGCCATATTTTTTTATGAAATAAGTAACCAAAACTAACAGCAGAATAAATATGAATATACAACCTCTCAAGACTGGTAATACTGAGTCACGAACTCTAACTGAATATATGGAATGATCACGATGACCGAATATACAATACTGTTTGATTAAAAATTAACAGTACAATGAAATGAAAGAACTCCAAAAAACTGCGACGAGCAAGCATCTCTATCTTGAATCCTTACGATCCCTCTTTAACTCTGCTCAAATCCGATATCTCCAATACCAGGTTCTGCACAAAAAATATGTAGAAGTGTAGTATGAGTACACCACGGTCGGTACCCAGTAAGTATCAAGACTAACCTCAATGGAATAGAGACAAGGTACAGTCAAGACACTCACTAGTCTAATAACCTGTGCAATATAGCATGCAAAAATAATAGAAAACAAATAGCAGTAATAGCAACATCAATCAACTAGTGATTTAAACAGCAAGGTAACAGGAACACCATAAATATTGCTCAAACGAGCAATAAACACAGGCACAACCAATTAACCAGGTCCTTCAGAATATACATCTTTTATCTAAGTTATTCAATAAAAATCTCTAGAATATAATCCTTTTCAATAAATATATTTCTGAATATAATTCTCTAGAGTAAATATCTTCCGAATATAATTCTTTCAAGTAAATATCTTTCGAATATAATTCTGTCAAGTAAATACCTTTCGAATAATTCTTTCAAGTAAATATCTTTCAAATATACTTCTTTCAAGTAAATATCTTTATAATATA